GGCCAAAATTGAAATCGACATTTTAACTTCATAGCTGGCTGCAGAAGAAGAAGTGTTTATTCCTCAAATCTGGATTTACTTCACGTTATAGACATGAAATAACCTGGTTTGGTTACTTGTTTAACCTCGAGCCTATTGCCATCCAGTCAGAACAGTTTATTCTCCCCTTAACAAGCCAAACATTAGTGTGGCTAAAGAATTATAAACATTTAAGTATTGGTTTGTGGGGATTACGTTTGATCATAAGCTTATATCAGTTAGGGAACCATTGCGAAACCTGCAGGGAGTACTGGACAGCTGTTCCCTCCTAGTTTGGGACGCTTCAGCAGTGCGCACACACCATCAGGGTTCCAATTCAGGATCTGGTTACAAGGCGAGTTCGTAGGTAATTAAGCCACTAGGACTCAATCCAGTGACCCATGAATCCCAACTTCTGCCAATTCATAACATAACGCGACCACTTCGAAATGTCTTCTTCTATGAGTTACTGTCTCACCTTCCACCTGCTGTACCCTACTGGTCACGGATTCCACTAGAATCCCAGGTCACTGCCTGAGTAGAACCAGTCACTAGTGAGCACCAGATTATTTTTCAGGTGCTGGTTTGCGGGGATTTTGCCTGATTGGTTGGAGGATTTTATCATGAGTTGACATCGCTAAGTGGTCGCGCTATATCGTGAATTGGCAGAAGCTAGAATTCATGGACCATTGGATCGGGTCCCAGCGACTTAATTGCCTACAAGCTCTCCTCGTAATCAGAAGGTCCTGAGTTCGAACTCTAGCGGTGGGTTCGTACTTATGAAGAGTCAGCTTATGATGAAATCCTGCAACTTATAAATATAGTGTGTTTTTCCTTAATAAAGTTCCTCTCTCAAGTCTGTTATCTTCTCCCATTACAATACCACTACTACTCCTTTAATTTGAAAACACAGCTCTTGCTTAGACATTTGAAAAAGAGAATGTTTTTATACACTATGATACTTTTTTTTATTAGATTTTATTTTCACTCATATAGTTGTTGTTAGTTATAACTGTCATCAATACAATTTATTGATTTATTTTGAAATGTATTTATGCAACCCGCATGATTGTCAGTTGACCATTACAAGACCTTGATAGAGAATTTCACCTAATTTTACACCTTCATACCATGAGTTCGTAGTTGTGTTGTTTTTTTCGCTTTCTCTCTGTCTCTCTCTCTATCAGTCATATAAAATATGTCTGTGCATATAAGTATGTGGAAATACAAATGCTTACAAACTGCTCAATTGATAAATTCACCAACTGTAGTGCGCAATAAAACAGTTTTAACTGACAAATTACACCTCTTCTGTCGTCTGTCTGATAAAATGTGAAGAGGAAATTAAATTTCACTTAACGAAATGACAGTTTTGCTAGAAAAATTCAAATTATGTATCATAGATAATCGTTTATTGAGGTTAGCCTAGTGAATTAAAAATTGTTTGTGCACGAGGTTATTGTACCTTTGAAAATCTGAGTGTATCCTTTTTAGATTCATAAGTACTGCAATAGTAACAACATAAAATATTTGGAATGTGTACTTTATCGCACTGTAAATAATGCAGAACTTGATGAAATAGACAGGTATTCTAAGAACTAAGTGTATTTGAAGTTATTTGAGATGGTTGTGGAATAAAACTCCATTTCGTCCTGTTCACTATAGGCCTCTTCAGCTAGCTCCATAGGTTCTCGTCTCCTTCATGTCACTCTTAGATTCATAGCCAACCCATCGTTTCCCATTCGGGTTCCACACAAGGAAGTGCATTGCATGGTACGCCACTCAACATTCCCCTCATCGTGTGATCGATCCACCTCCAATTTATTCCACATGTCTGTTGAGTAATAAGTTCTTGGTTAGTTCGTTCCAAGAGTTTCTCGTTGCTAATTGATGTTGTGAATCGGAATTTGTTCTCTACGCTGAGTTTAGCAGACTTCCAAACTGATTTCAGAGTGATGAAGGTGTGCATTGCTCTTCCGATTCTGGTTTTAATATTCTCGTCTGTTCTCTTATCTGTAGTTGAGATGATGCCTTCTTGATAAGTGAAGGAAGTGACTGATGTCAAATTCCTTCTGTTGATAGTGATTGGCGCTTGTTGTTGTTGTCGGTTGCTGAGTGTCTTCATCACCTTCATCTTCTTTATGTTCACCTGAAGTCCTGCTTTTGCTGCTTCTCCTGTCAACTTGTTGTTTTTCGCTTGTAGATCTTCGAATTCATATGAGATTGAACAGAAATCGTCCATGAAGTTCAACTCTTCCTGAGTCTTCTTATCAGTCCAACTTATTCCTGTATCCTCCCTTCCCACATATGGTGTTCTGCATAATCCACTCCACCATAATCAGAAATATCACGACTGATAGCAAGGGCAGCCTTATCTCACTCCTGTCTTCACTTCAAAAGCAAGCTTCGCTGAGTTTTCCGTTGTGAATCACTTGACATACGAAGATGTCATATGGATTTTGAGTGACGTTGATAAAGACTTAGAGTAATGCATTCCATAGTGTTGAAGTAGGTTCCAACGCTGTAGTAGGCCTTTACAGAGCCGATGAAGTTGAGGTAGAGATTTGATTTCCATCCTGCTTTATGTTCAACGATGCCACAGAAACTTACAATTCGATCCACACGTGTATAATATTACTTGTCAGTAATCAGTACATTTCTGTGTAGTACATAATAACAGCTACAGTATCGAGGTACCTGTTACATGATGTGTTTTAACTTTTAAAGGAATTGAGTCACGTGAATATGGAATATTTTATTAAACAAGTCAAAAAAATGCAAATTTACCAAGATAATTGCAATCAAAGAAGATTCAACTGACGACATGAATCCCTTTTAAAAATGAATATATTACGTCTAGACAAGTACAGAGTTAGTTAAACTAACTATCAGTGCTACATCGATGAGCAATTTTAATTACTGGTTGAAATTATCTATAAAAACTCTGAATAAGAAATAGTCTTGAATTGTAAACTTCTTCTAATCTGACACTCCTAATTAGTAATGTGAATCAAGAAACTAATGGATGCTGAGTTCCATCGGTTGTAGAATCACCGTAAGGAAATTCTTCAAGTGTCACCAATTAAGTGGATATAAGTTACTGAATGTGTTTTTGGATGTGTGACTAATTCAGATACCCTTAAAGACAAACTGACTACGAAATAAGTTTTACACGGTAAAATCGCTTATCCTTCACAACGATATGCATTTGTCAGTCCATCTGCAGTGACTGTAGTCAGAGAATACTTTCCACAAGAATGCGACAATACATTTCAGCATGTTTTTACAAGAGTGAAAGTAAGGCTATCAGAAGCTCTATTTTAGAACTCTTCTGTCACTCAGCCAACCCTGACCGCGATATCAAGATCATCTATTGAATTCGTGCTAACTCACTGCCCTATCTTCATTTCAAACTCCTAAAGAAAGTCGAAGGCCTTCACTATTCCTGAATTCAAACCACACGTTTCTTCACTAAACCTGTATGTACAGTCCATATTTATAACTTAGACGTAGAGGGATAAACAGTAGTTTATGTTTCCCTTTGTTTATTTAATTTGTACACCTTTTCCTTATTATTACTGTTCTTATTAATATTATTTTTGTTTTCACTTTAAGCAGTTTCCGGTATTATTATTTCATTTCTCACACTTATTTCTTTTAATTCAATTTTCAAATCCATCTTATCAAATTTCTCAACATGTTACGTGATGACTTTTTTATTCGCCTACTAATCCTATTAATTTTATATCCTTTTCCAAGATCTATGCAACATTCCATGCACTAATATGTCATGACTTTATTTATTCTATAATCACAAACATTTTAATTATATTTCATGCTATAATTTTAAGTATTCACACCTGATGATCACTAGTGACTGGTCCTATTCAGGCAGTGACCTGGGATTCTGGTGGAAAGCCATGACCAGTAGGGTACAGCAGGTTGAAGGGGAGACAGTAACTCATCGAAGAAGACATTGTGAAGTGGTCACGCTATGTTATGAATTGGCAGAAGTTGGAATTCATGGACTGGCCAATGGATTGGATCCCAGTGGCTTAATGGTCTACGAGCCCGCCTTGTAACCAGAAGGTACTGGGTTCGAACCCTGGTAGCGGTTGCATACTGATGAGGAGTCCCAAACTAGAATGAAACAGCAGCTGTCCAGTACTCCCTGCAGGTTTTCCAATGGTTCTCTAACTGATGTCAGTTCTTGATGAAATCCTCCAACTACTCACACTTGTGTTAAAGTTTCTTCACCTGATGTAGTTTCTTAAAATCATATATATATATATGCTTCAATAAAGAAAGACCGAATTTGCAGTATAAAATGAAATGATTATTCTATTTCACAAGTTAGCATCAGCTCCAATCTACCTGGAATTACATTGGTTATGAAAGAATGGAAATAACATACATCAATGTTTGAATGGTAGTAGAGAGAATATTATACAGCTAACACATCCGAAATGTAAGCATTACAATTTTTAGCTTAAGTTATCATCAATTATACGCTTTCACAGTAGAAAAGGAGATGAGTAGGGTGGAAGACAGGAAACAGAAAGATCTAATAAAGAGGGTTAGCTTATAAGTCCACATAACAATTCCCGGATGCTATAGCTCATGAGAGTGGAACTTGGTCAGTGAGTTGGAATCACTAATATAGATCATTAATCATTGTAAGCAGAATGCTGTTTAAACAAATTCTTTACACAACATATTTCTTTCACAGTGTTTTTGTTTACAAAGTTGATCAACATGTTAACCACCTCATTTCATCTATGAGTACCAATACATTTTCTGACTGGAGTTTATATATTCATTCTCATTAGCTATGCTTCCACAATGCCTTAGAGTAAGCGTGATCCACTGTTATAAAAGAGCAGTAAGTGTTGATAATTTATGTGAAATAATTTTGAATGTTATAATCGTCAATTTGGTGGTAATTTTACTATTCACTTATCGTTTCTATTTTGAAATTTTAGAAGCAGATGGACAGAAAATATTTCTCGATATTCACCTCAGTTCACTCCTTCAGCCACAAGTAAACGACAGACATGGCATTCAGAACCAGAACCAGTTACACCAGGTGTAGTAAGTTTGACTGGATTGCATTAAACTTTTAGATCATTATTTTATGTACCATAAAAAGCGAATATATATATATATACTGCAAGTTCGGCCACGGATTGATATCGCTTAGAGCACTACTGAAAACCAGCAGGGAGTACTGTACGGCTGGTTCGTCCCAATTTGTGACTCATCGGATGTACGCACTCACTGGGGTTCCAACTAAGGACGCTCTGGTTACAACTAAGGCTGGTAGACGATTCATCTAGTGAAACCCGACTATTGCTATCATTTCACAAAATATTAGGCACAAAGGCACACTTTAGTTGTTTAGCCCCTTTGTTCTTCCATCATCTTAGAAAAAGTGTTACTTTATCATCAGGTACTTATTGATTTTCATCTAATTCAGTGTACCATATTTCAGATGGTCGGAGTGGTGTACTGCACCATCCAGTTAGTGTTGAATAGTAGACTTGAAATCCCGCCATCCAACAAAGGATGTGTGTAGAGCGCAGTAGTCCACCCTGCTGTCTTTCCCGGCTATGAAACACAGCCATTAAGACTAGAGAAGATTTGAAGAGAATAGTTGTCTCTGGTCAAAGGTGTTTGCGATCTATTTCCCCATGTTAAGTGGTACAATGTTGTGAGTAATATTGAGGTAAAGCATCGAATGTCACGTAGGGAATGGGAGTGAATCGGTGATTTTGTGAATCTACATCGACTGATATGGCTAGGATACGCGTTGCGCATGCCAAGAAACTGCCTGCCTCGCCATGCAATGTTAACTGACATGGGGTTGGACTGGAAAAAATCTAAGAATAGTTAGATCAAAACCTGGCATCAATCCATGAATTAACTGATAGTAGGTTTGAACCAGTCAGTGTAGTGAGGTGTAGACTACCTGGCTAACGTCCTCAAGAGGCTAACAACTGATGACCTGAAATTGTTGGTGATATGACGCACTCAGTCTTTTTAATTTCACAGATCCATTACGTCCCAATGGTTCTCCAGATTACTATTCTTTCCCCCAGAAATTTCTGCACATTTTTAGTCCTTCTAAATTTTTCTTTTCTCTACTTCTGTGTGTTACATGGGACGTGGCAATTTGTTGTACTTCTGTGCAATGCTCCATGTTGAAACTAAGTCAGTTGGTCAGTCAAATTAGTGATGCAAAATGGTGATTGTTTAGTTAGCCTAAACTGTTTACATGATGCGTATACAACCGCTGACTTCTAATAACATCATTCAACGAAGTAAGGCTCCCACCAATAGTACAAAGTGAGGGATTTTATCAATCAGTGAGTTAAGTAGCAAAATCTGAATTTAAAATCATCCTGAAAACTAGAAGAGCATTCCGTAACAAATAAATCATTGACCAACTGGGAGAACTCGTTATCACTAGATTTAATTAAAAGCTCTGATTTCCCTACAGGCAACATAAAACTAGGTGTTAATTTCATGTACATCACTAGCCTGAAACATTTCACAAATCAAACAGTTACTCAGATGGATTTCTAAATCCGAATTTCTTTCTTCATTGAATCATTTCTCCTTTGGGTAGTACTAAGGAAAAAACTGACTGTTGCTTAACCTGTCTGTAATCAATACACTTGTTTTAGTAAAATCAACAGTACTTAGACTATGAGTGTTGTAAGCGACTCATATCAACCAGGTGTGCTCACTAGCCAGATCAAGGTGATCTAAACACTGGGCGGCCGTTTCGCTCATTTGAAGCCACCCAGCTAGCACGAACTACTGGTAGATATTAGTGGTACACAACAACTGCTCATCTCAGTCAATTATTAGTTTATAGTTTTATGCTAATATGCTTGCATTCATGCACTTACCACTTTTGATATCAAGCAGACCACATACTGTGATGTAAATTCTTTATTCGATGTTCTACAGCAGCAGCTACATTTTGTCTCATATAAACTGATTTCTAACTTTTGTATACCTACTTGTCTACTTTTCTTTACCGTGGTGGTCTTATAAATATTTCTGCATAAAAAGGACCTACTTAAGTGACTAAATTCTTATGTGGATTTACCAAGAGGATTTGATTTTCGTAACAGTATGCAGGTCCTGAAAATAGGAATTCAGGTGAACATAGAGAAAACAGAGGTGATGAAGATTCCTGGACAAGAACAACAACAACAGACAACAATCAGCATAAATGGAAGGAACCTGAAAGAAACAATCTCTTTTACCTACCAACCTGGCAGCATCGTTTCAACTACAGACGGACAGAACTGATGAGGATATCAAAGCAAGAATCGGAAAAGCAAGACAAGCTTTCACTACTCTCAAATCTGTGTGGAGGTCAATAGCACTCAGCAACAAAAATAAGATCCGGATTTTCAACTCCAATGTGAAGTCAGTGCTACTATACGGATCAGAGACTTGACGTGTCATAAAGAGCATCTCAAACAAACTACAGACCTTCATTAACAATTGTTTTCGCTCAATACTCAAGATCAGATGGCCAGAAAAGATCAGTAACAGGGAGGGATCTCTGGGAGCGAACCGACCAGGAACCGATTGTGAAACAAATGGGCAGGAAGAAATGGAGGTGGGTTGGCTGGCCATACTCTGAGGAAACCATCAAGTGACATCACTAGACTAGCCATTTCTCTAGTGGGACCCGAAAGGGAAGTGGCGAGTTGGTCGTCAGTGCGAAGGTGGGGTGACTTGGAGGAGGTCATGTGAAGAGGAGATGAAAGCGTGTGGACAGGCTTGGAGCCAGGTGAAGACACTAGCAGAGAACCGAACGCAATGGAGACGTTTGGCTGAAGCCCTATGTTCCTCTAGGAATTTAAGGAAACAATAATAATAATATGCAGGTCCTGCATACGTCTTCAAGTTGACGAGAAAGCGATACAAAACTTCCTGTACTTTAACTTGTGGCTTTAGTAGTACACAAAGACATCAAACGAGGGACAAGAAATGAAGACATAATACACAGACAGATATCATCTCAAGAGTTTGGCCATTGAATTTTAATTTCTTGATGAATTTCATAAGATAACTTCCACTGACCGAATACAGTCTGCGCCAATCAGGCAACTAGACACATAACACTACTAGTTACTGGCTACCTAGTGTCTAATCAGAGTATCCAGCACACTCCTATAGCAAGTCATTCATGAGCCTGAATACCCCAGTAGTAACGTCTCTGACTGCAGCATTGGGTGACACAGGTTTGAATCTCATAGGGTTACAAGTTCCTCGAATACTGTAGAAACGCCCTGTTGACTGGTGAGTGCCAGCAAGCACGAAACCTGGTTCAAGCAAGGCTTACTTCTGATTGCCTCCAACCATGTAATAATAATTTCCAATTTCTTCAGATAGATGAGATTAACAGTCACCAGCCTAATAACCTGATGATTTATGTATTTATTTCATCATGTAAGCTAACTTGTGCCTGAATTTCGAAGTAATAGACTGCTCGTCATAAAAAATAGCAGTTTGTCTGAAAAATAAATACACCTACTGGAAGTTTACTTTTTTTCACTTCTGTAAAATATGCTGGGAAGTAAACGTTTTAAGTTTTTAGTTTTTCCAACAATAATATAACTGTTTTCCTTAATCTATTGTAGGTTGACATTGAAGTGAAAGTTGTAAGTTTATATTTGTAATTTCTATGGAAGTCTGAATGGATTTATCTGTATGAATAAATTAACATATGGGGACAATGTTTGAAGTATAGTTGATAGGCTACATAAAGTTTGACGACTCTCTTTTCCTCCGTACATAAAACATAAAATTTAACTGTTCTTGTGGAGACAGTTACACAGGTATAACGACTCATCAAGTCCACTGTCGCCTTCTTGAGCATTGACCATTGTCCAACCTGCTTAAAGAAAGCAGCTGTAAAATCAATCAGGCTTTCTATATTGGCACACCTTGTGTACATGGACCGCAATATTGATACAAAATTCCACCTTTACAATTCTATATAGGGTACCACCTCAGTTCCCTAAGTTTATACGCCTTCGATTCCTAAGCATGGCTGTGGCAGTCGCCTTAAAGGTTTTTCAATACAATCTTCGTGTTCAAAAGAAGTTTGATCAATTCCTCTCCCTCGCATGGTCTTCAACCCCGGATTAGAATAGTTATCTTAGTTGTTACTACTTGATTTACATCCTTTTATTGATCCAAATTGTTTCAGAAGTCTAAGATTGGTATTTCATTGTGTAATTGCAAAACCTGATGAGAATTTACCGAAAATACGTAATTTCTGGCTTAAATCGTGCTCTGAAACATTAAAGCTATCAAACTGTTGTTATTGTGAATCAGACAGTCGTCTTCACACCTTAACACAGTGCGTTTTAGGTTTTTATACAGGAGTGACCTATGTTTGCGATAGAAATCTATATCATGTAACTCCATAGCTGAGTAAACTATAACTGCATATTAAATATGCTTATTTGACAAAGGACACTGAAAAAATGTTCCTTACAGGAATATGTTATGAGCACTATTTATTGCCCATGATTGTGTAGAGGTAGTCATACAAATTTTCAGAACTTGATGTTTTTAGCTTATTCCTTCCTTCCTGATTATTTTGTTTTGTTGATAAAGGAATCTTTAATATCTCTGAGACTGATGTCATATCACTGTTTTGCGTTCATTGGATGTTTTATCTATGATCAAAGACTTGGTAGTGTGAATATACTGACTTTTAGCTCTGTTTTATCGTACCACTTGAAGATGTGTCGACAAATGTATGGCGATAAATGAGTTTCAATCTAGTTTACTCATTTAATTATGGTACATCACTCTATATTTAGCTAAATTCCTTTGCTTGAGCAGTCTAAACAATCATAACCGTATACAGACAGACAAATAGAATTTATGTTGCTAGGTAGATTCGATTACTTTATACTATTGGTTACAGGATTCCATCATGAGCTGACGTCGGTTAGAGAACCATTGGAAATCCTGGGAGTACTGGACAGACACCCACCACAGGGGTTCGAACCCAGTACTTTCTGGTTACAAGGCGAGCTCGTAGACCATCAAGCCACCGGGACTATATGGTTAGTGAAATCCTTCAGCAACTAAAGTTTATTTTTGAATGAACTGATACACTGGAATTCCACATTGATCCGAAAAAAATAGTTGGCAATCTTAAGCTGCTACTTCAGAGCAACTCCAAAATGAGCTGCTGTAGTTGATGAGGTAAAAGTATAAACCAGGGGAGAAATATTTAAAATAATGATTTTAACACTATTTGTAACGGAACTGAAGTCAAAAATTCCACTGTTAATTTGAGTAGCAGCAGTCTCAGTCAATGTAACATTGAGGACTTCGTGCATCGAATCACTTATAAAGCTCCTTGCCTGCTGCAAACAGTATCTGATTATTCCCTTGGGTTCCATATGGATCATAAGGCTTCAACAGAATACCTCCATTTCATCCTGTTCTCCACAGTCATCTGTAGCTGTCTCCACAGTCTTCTATAGGTCCAAATTTCCTCTTCAGTGTCACCCTTGGACTCACGTCCAACTCGTCGTTTCCCATTCAGATTACACTTAGGGGATGGTCTGGGGTGATGTCACTCAGTGGGTGCGTACATTAGTTCACAATATATATATTGAAGTCAGAAGAAAAAAGAATGAAATTATGTAATTCTACATTTTATTGTCACAGATTTATTTCATTGAAATATGTACATAAAAATTGTGGTTAAATTGGAGCTAAGAGCTGTAACTGGAGATAAACATTCAAAACATTTCAGATATGTTTGAACTTCTTTAGGGAAACAACGGTAAAATAAACATCTCCAGTCATAGCTTTTAGAATTTCTCACTAACTTATTATGTCTATCGTGTGTCTTTTTTTAACACCAGAATAATCAAGTATGTTAATTTTTTCTAATATTAGATTTGTTTTGAGTTATTGATAACCTGTTCTTCCCAAATATACCGTTATCATTGGAATTATTTATGTCTAAGAAAACCTTACTTATTCACAGTAGAATGCTTACCAGCCATGCAAGAGGTCTGCGGTCAGACTCTCGACAAACAGACTCCTAGACACTGTTTGTCAGGTAAAGAAAGAAGATTAGGCGTGATGTTAACAACCTCACCCTGTAGAAAAAGAACAGTACAACTCCTGCTGAAAATTCCAAGCATGAATCCTTGTGTTCCACTGGGAATGCAAAGGAAAAAGAAATATAAAAATAAATATTCGCATGGTTTACTCAGTAATATTAACCTAGCCCTGTTTAGTTCTTTAGTATACAAGTGAACTAGTGAAAAATTACACTCATTTTACACTAATAATTACTTTGACTGGACATTAGTCAGTAACCAGCGTAGCGTGTCTAGTCCTTTGTTTGATGCAGACTGAATTCTATCCTCAGTCAAGTTTGCAGTGTTGTCAGCATTCTAGGTGGCTCGCCATGACGGTGCACTCTGAATTGTTGATATTAGATTTTTGGGTTCGAATCTCAGAAGCGACGTGAGTTCTTTCAAGGTTGTAGATACGCCTTACTGACAAGTGCCAAATAGCACGAAGCTTAGGTTCAAGGCTTCCTGGAGATTGCCTTCAACCATCTAATACCAACACCATTAATTATCGAAAAAATGTTCATCTGTGTACTGACAGCAGTCATATTTCCTATTATCTTATTTTTCTGACTACTTTGCATTCTGAACGTAACATAAAGCTTCAGGCTTTAGAGTTTCAGTTGCATTGGTGTTGGGTTTACTTACAGTTTCAGGTTGTTAGCCTCAGTCTCAACCTACCCTCTTTACTAGGCTTACTTTCAGTTAGTAAACCAGGCGAGGTTTATGAGTGAGTCTACCATGAAATAAACTCCGGAATGTGTGTATAACTGCTGAGCATTCCAGTTTTTTTTCTATTTACTCAACTAGTTTTCCCAGACTGGTAACATTTTTTGTAGAACGATTTAACTTTCACATTTGGAAGGATGTTGTGAATTTTCACTAAAACTTACAGCTATTAAGCGTATCCAACTGAGTACTAATTTATGAAAAAATTGACCTGAAGACAAATTTCGCCACACGCCAACATTTCTGAGAAAATATGGATAACTCGGGTTCAGTGGAGCTGTTACTTATGAAGGAATGGCTGTGTCGCTTTATATTCACCATTAGCTCGTAAAATACAGATAAATGAGTGGACAGATGTTCATGATAACATCTAATCTCACTCCAAGTACATGCATGATATGCTATACAGCAGAATCCATCAAATCTAGTTGTTATGAAGGGGATGTAATTACGTAACTGGTAATGATGAAAGACAGCACACAGTTGTTTAATAAATGACTAGAGAACTGATCGAAGGATAGCGTGACATCTGCGTAAATACATGAAACCTATTCCTTTTGCTGATATGACGAAAAAGTGATGTATGTTGGTGTATTATCGAATACATACATACACACATTCCCCTGTCATTTTCTAAGAAAGTTACAGTAAACATAAAATCGTGCTTGTTCATAACCTTCTAGCCATCGATAGAAAGGTTAGCTGACAGCTGAAAACCCATCATATTTGATTTTCATGGAGGTTTCCATTCATCAGATTTACTCCAAAATCTGTGAGATATTACAACACCTGATGAGCACAGTTCATCTAATTCTACAACCGAGAAAAATGCCTACACACAGTCAATACTATTTCATTGTTAACTGATATGAGTATAATTTGTGTGTGACTTCATCACTAGAGGTGCTTTTGTAACAACAGAAGATAAGGGCCAGGCAGCAGATCGTTATTGAGGAATTCAAGAGATATTTATATATTTCTATGTACATTGTTATTCGTTATTATTAGCAGAGAAACAGCGACTTCTGACTGGTTGTTTTCTCGCTGGAAGTTATTCTGTCATCTTCTTGTGACTATTTCTTCGAAGGTCAGATCATATATCTGCGAATCGTATCCGCCCACGCAAATTTTTCTATGATTGGTTGTTGAGTTCATCTTTGTTCTTGTTCTTTTCTCATGACCGAGATTTGGGACGTAAACATTGAGGTAAATTACTGTCTACCAATTTGGCTAGCAGACAGCTCTCACCACACTACTACTATGAATCAGTTTGAAAATTTGACTTTTACCTTACACAAAGAAAGGGACTTCATATCTGTACAATTCGAATGTGCCGAATACACTTGTCAAACCTAAACAGCTATGTATTTCATCTGGAACAAAGTTGTGACTCATTCTGTGATTAATCGCTTAATCACTGACCTGTCATTACAGTACTAAAGTAGGGTGATTGTTAAGAACGGAGAATTTGGAGTTGAACTTATAATTTATGAGAAAATCAATTCAATTATTCTTGGAGGCAGTATGCAGAGATAATAATAGTTACTCATTACTACTTGAGAACTATGTATTCAACACAGCGGTAGAGTGCTCACCGACAGCGCAGGTGGTCCGGGGTTCGATCCCCGGCCGACTCACTCATTTACTTCGCTAAGCCGCTGGTAAGACTGGTAAAGAGGGATGGGTGGGTGTGAGGTTGGCTAGCAACCCCATCCTGTAAAAATAAGCACTTCTGCTACAGAAACTTCAAGCCTCTAGCTTGAAGCCCAATGTTCCACTGGGAACGTAAGGGAATAAAAAAATATGAAAACTAAAGATAATAATATTAAAGGTCTTTCCATGTTCTTTAGCTGACCAATAAGAATTTAGAGTTTAAATATACTTCTTTCAGGTATGTAATCTATGTTCCTTCTGTCTATTCGAAAGTGCTTTTAAATTCTAAAGCGAATCAACAAGGAAATTGTAAGGTAGTCATTGTCTCTATTTGAAGTAAGTCGTACTAGGAAATAAAAGGAGAGATGATTAATAAACTCGTGGAGAACTTCAAAAGCTCACTTCGAATTGAAGTATGCGCTGAAGATGTCACCTAGTAGGGTGATGAAAGCTTCGCAAATTAACTATCCAGCTCACGAAACACAACTACATCAAAATCATCCACCTGAGTTACAAATCTTCTCCATCATTATTTTTATTACATGAATTATCCCCATTCAGACATTCATGAAAACAAAACACGTTGTTCATCGAAGAATTTCTTTTCGGTGGTGAATTCATTCACTTAGCCGTACAATCGCAATTATTTATACTTATTTTGTATGTGTGTGTATATTAGGTTTGTCCGATAAGAATAAAAATAATTTAGGGTTATTGTTATCAAGACATTTGAAAAATGTGATGAGTAATCAAAGCTGTAACTAGGGGAGGGGTGAAGATTGGTAAGAGGGTAATGGTGATGTGTTGCGCAAAACACCTATTTATTACCACATGGAAGAAGTTGAGTAAGTGTAATACAGTTACGTAATAAGATGAATAATTTTATAAGTAAGCTGTGATTAAGATGCACATAGAAACAAAGGGGAATATGGAATTATGTAAGAGTTCTAAAAGTGACAATGTTATAAGGAGTTAGGTGAAAAAGAGCACACAAACATCAAGTCAGTAGAAGTCAATACACTCAGCACAGTTTTTAAAAATGTCTTCCATTATGGGTAAAAAAATGTTTTTTGATAAAAGTATAAAACTTGTGCACTGTGGTAGAGTATAACTCCGTCATAGATAAAGTCTCACAGTGTTATACAGTAATATTTGCTGATGACGTTTCTATGACAATTTATGAGCAATAAATTTTACCTATGAGGGAATTATACTCTACCACAGTGCACAAGTTTTATTCTTATCAGACAAACCTAATGTACACACACACACATGCATACAAAAGTAAGTATATATAATCGCAATTGTACAGCTCAGCTAAGTGAATGAATTCACCACCGAAAAGAAACTCTTCCCTGAACCTACCTGTTTTGCTATCATTAATTTTCTTTGTAAAATTACCTTATTTATGTTTCAAAAGAAAGGGAAATAACTCTCATAGAAGTTCTAATTTGCAATAGTTCTTTAGACGACATTTATACGCCATGATAATTAATCTGAGTCAAATTGAAAACAAGTGAATTTATAGTTTAAGCAATCTCAAGCATGTAAACCATTCAGCCACTGGGACCCGATTCAGTGGCTCATTGATTCTATCTTCTACCGATTTGTGATTTAGCGCGACTGGCACCAACCAATGTCGCCGGTGGGACATCCATCCTCACACGTAACATCTGGATGGACCTCATTGGTCACGACTTCTCACTAGAACTCCAGGAAACTCCATCCTGTAGCAAGTCACTAGCAAGCATCAGATTAATTTTCTATAGTTTGGTTTGTAAGGATTAGTTTTGTTTTTACGAGTTGATCACGGATTGATATCAGTTAGAGAAGCATTGAAAACCAGGGAGTACTGGACAGCTGTCTCATCCTAGCTTTTTGGGAATCATGGGCAGTACTGGGGTTCGAACCTAGGACATTCCGGTTGCAAGGTAAGTTACTCCAGTAAGAGAACAAAAGTAAAAAGAAAGGATAATTTCCTAGACATCAGTTTAAATTAGCCTCATATTGATCTCTGAAATTAGCTTATGAAATTTGCATTAATCTTGACACTACATGTTTCCAGTTTTCATTTAACATCGAGTTATTTTTCTTTTATGCTTAAATTTTATTACACATGAAGAAAGGCTTAACATTTTTTGTGTTTTCCAGACGCATACGATTTCGCCACGTCAATCTCCTGTACCTGCTGTGCGAAACAAAACTCCTTCACCTGTTCGTTTCGCTGGTAAGTGACGTTAGTATACACCTAGACAACAATTTTTATATGAAACTATAAAATAGATACTCACTTGAGAATCTCAATTTCTTTTTTTCCTTACTATGCTTACAGAAAGCTAAATAATTTGATGTTTTAAGGAAAATGAATTTCTTTTGTTATCCATGCTTCTCAGTAAAAGCTTGGCATTGGTGGCGTCGGTGGCACAGTGGTTAGTACTCTCGCCGACCATGCATATGGTCTGGGATTCGATCCCCTGCCAAAGCACATCTGATATCAATGGTCGACCTGCAAAATTTGGGCTACCGATATCATATGCTGAAAATTCCATACTTGTACCAAAAATACTGTGTGGTTTCAAGCTATAATCAAAAAAAAAATTTTCAAAGTTACTTGCATATTTAAAAGAAACCTGATTAATTAAATGAATTTTTATTATTGCAACCTTTCAACTTATCTATATATTTACAAATAAAGCAAAAGTGCTTTTTTCAAAGAAGAGAGCAGACATTAGTGTGAAGATAAAGTCAAAATTAATGATACTCTGACTTCTTTCTTTCTACAGTCTATTTGTTGCGTGATACTCGAATATGCTCCTTGATAGCTTTGCCTTGTTAATGGCTATTACTTTCTTTTGTTGCATATTCACTTCCATTTTGGGAACTGATTGTCATACACTTACCTGAAGTCTTATATTGCCGAAGAAAATGCCGATGGATTGGACACACGCAGCTGGATGACATCGTGCGCCAGACCATCACTCGAGTGGAACTCAAATGGGAAACGACTAGTAGGGTGAGAGTCTGAGGTTGACAAGGAGGAGATCGTACGAGGAGGAGATTAAGGCTTATGAGCAATCGTGCGACCAGCTAAAGAAGACAGGACAAAATGGAGATGTTCTATTAAAGTCCTATATTCTACTTGGAACCTAAGGGAATAATGATAACATTCATGTTGCATCAATCAAGAGGTAGCTACCAATAAACAGTGTTAAATAATAAATAGTAGCTCTGATGGCTGGCAAAGCTGAGAAACAAATTGGAAGCTAGGTGTCTCAATGCTGCTGCTGAGTAGCATTTCGAAAGTAAGATTGCACACCAGTGAAAATATTTGCGATTATTATTCCCTTAGGTCCCAAGTGGAACATAGAGATTCAACAGAACTTCTCCACTCTCTCTTGCTCTCTGCAGTTCTCTTCAGCTGACCACACGATTGACTATAAGACCTCATCTCCTCCTCACACGGTATCCCCATGCCATTCTTGGTTCATGCCCAACCCTTCATTCCCCATTCGCGTTTCACTCGTGGGTCAGCCTGGTGTATAATGTCACCCAACAGTCTCTTCCTCCATTTTATTCAGAATATTTCCTGGGCTAAAGGTTCTCGGATGGTTCATTGCTTCTCAGAGTTCCTTGTTGCTAACGCTTTCTGGCCAGCCATCTGATCTTCACTATGGAGCCATCTAAGACAGCTGTTGACAGAAGTCTGAAGCCACCTGCTGAAAATGCTTTCGGTGACACTCGGACCAAGTCTCTAACCCGACTGACTTAACATTGGCTCTGAAAATCCGAACCATTATTTCTCTGTAATAAGGCATAAGTTTATATATATATATGATTAGCATAGAATGGGAAGCTAAAACACCTGAAGGGACTGAGTAAATAAAATTAACCTTTGTACTGCACTTTAATACCACTTGGACTTAGCGAAATTAGCGAACACCTTTGATTTTGCAAATATTTGTAGTGTCAGTCCACTAAAGCTAAAGCTTTGTCACCCTTGAATTGTTGCGACACTACTGGGACCATGAAAGCTTAAAAAAGCTTATCACCTACCTAATTTATTTTGTTAGTGGCTATCATTTTACCAACTTGAGTCAACAAATAAACTATCAGCGGTCGAAAGCGGAAATTGATATAAGTATAAAACTTGGGCACTGTGGTAGAGTGTAACTCCATTATGGATAAGATTTTATTTTGATAAACTGTCACACAGTGTTACACAGTAATATTAACTGATGACCACGTTTTGAGCACAAACTATTGCTCATAATCATATCAAGTTACTCACACAACTTTTTCCTTCATTTATATATATGTATGGAATTGACTAGATATTTGAAGTGATAATGTGATAATGTACATTCAGAGATAATCATATGAGTGTTATTGATCAAATACAATTAGATGGGAAATAAGACGAATGATGACATTCATTTCCCAGCCAATGTCGATCAGTATAGAGATTACAGATATTCTCATCAGGCTGTTCAAGTTACCTATGGCAAAGTTGCTACACTTAAGAATATCAGTGTTAAATAATAATCTCCGGTCTGAATTTTCTGGCTGTGATACAAGAACTAATTTTCTTGAAAAGACTGTGCAAGGTATTCTGTTTGCAGCTAAGTACTTCAGTCCCTTTAATAGGGATCTACATACATTACCTACTTACTGAATTAAGTGACCACAATAATAGTAGCTTTATTCTGAACAGTCTTTATATAATGTACAGAATTTTCAGTGGAAATTACTGAATATTAGTTTCTTTTTGACCACAACCTTAAAGTAAAGTATTAACTGACAGTAAATCGTTTGACACGTGTCCGGTCTGAATTGCAAACCAATCCCTTTTGATATTTCTTCATCGCCTCCCTCCTTGGAGAAATCCACAACATTTATTTGAAAGACAGTTAAGAACGGATGTAGGAGTACATGTTTTGAGCCAAGGACATAATAATAGCTGAATAATTGAAAACTGCATATAATTAGTTTTATTTCTCAGTCAGTGGCAGTTCGTATACCCACGGCTTTGCTTTCTCTCAAGTTTACTAGAATCTTGGGACTCACCAGCTTGCAGACACTTTAAACACTCACGATAGTAGAAAATACCATTAGAGGTCATATTTTATAAGAACAAAACTGAACAGGAGAAATTATATGCAATATAATGATGGAGTGTTTTGGTAGCCCAGATTTTAAGCAGGCCACCCCTAGAAATTACTATTGGTAAACACGAGTCAGGGGCTAATACTGATGGGACCTGTAGGTTGCATCACAAACGCTAATTTACATTTAAAAAATTTCACATTTCTTTTATTCTGTATTTCGAGTATGCATTTATTCTGAAATTATGTGATATCGGATTTGAAATTATTAAATCATACGCTGTAGACTTATTTCATGCATATATAAATTCGTGTATTTTTTTTTTACTTCAGAGAAACCTATTGAACAAAGGGCTAAATCATGGGATACACGTAGCCATCCACAGCGTCCATCTGATGGCGAACAAAAGTAAGCAAATCAAAGTATACCATATACAATAAACGAATAAGGGTATATTTATGTGAGGTTGGATATTATTTACGCAGAAGACAACTTTTCATTAGACACTATTTACTAACTATTGTCCAATCAGAAGTATTCTATGCAGTCCTACAGGAGGTTAATTACGAGTGCGAATAGTTCAGTAGTAACGTCTCTGACTGCAGAACTGCGTAACGCAGGTTCGAATCTCAGAAGGGACGTCAGTTCCTGGAAGATTGCTGATACGCCCTACTAACTGATGAGTGCTAACTAGCACGAAACTTGGGTGAAGCAACACATCCTGCCGATCGCCTCCAACCATCTAACTCAGAAGACGAAGTCGGTTTTATTAGTATGATGAAATGTTTTGTCTTGAGAAAAGACAATCAACTTTAGAGAAAAAATGACACTAATAAAGCTTTTGAATTCATTGACGAACCTGTCAAGTAACCTTTGGCAGTGTTAAAGCATTCTGACATACAAATAAATGAAAGGCCTTCGGTGGTTCTCTAACTGGCACCAATCCACAATCAAACTGGAAACAAATCAAATCCCTACAAATAAAGTCTTGAAAACTAATCTGATTCTCGGTAGTGACTGGCTATAGGACGAAATTGACTGGAGTTCAACTGAAAAGTGGTGACAAGGGGAGTCAGTCCGGTCGGTTGTGAAGACAAATACTCTCCGGTGACATTTCTGTCTGGTGGTCGCGCTAAAAATCACGAAGTGGAAGAAGTTAGAATTCATGGGCTGACCATTGAGTAGGGTCGCAATAGCTGAATGGTATACGAGCTTGATTCGTAACGTAAGGTCCTAAGTCCGATCCCCAGTAGGTTCACACTGCTGAAAAGTCACACATTAGGGCGAAACAACCCGCTGTCCAGTACTCTCTGGTTTTCATTGGTTCTCTAACTGATATCATTCCGTGGTCAAACACGAGACAAAATATTTCCCACAAACTAACTCTTGAGAATTTAGAAAATTAGAAGACATGTTAATAAGTTGCAACTTCTCCTTTGCTTCATTTTGATGCAATTATGAGATAATTACATTTCCTATGTTTATTTATTAAATATCCTAAATGGATTATCGAAATCGGGTAGCCAGATTAACGAAATCTTAACGTTATAGATCATTTTGTTCTCCTAGGTGAAGTATCCAGTGAATTTCACCTTGCACTAACTTCTCTTTCTGACATTCGCAAATAAGACTGGTCGGTGAACAAACTCATTTCGGAATGCCATTTTCGGAAGTCACATGTAATAAATAAACAAGTCCCAACTATATTAGTGTAAGCAAACATACATGGCCTTTTGAGACTTAAAAATTCGAGAACAGTTTTTGCCGAAAACTGGGGTTCACAAAATTCAAAAGTTTGAATAATGCAAGAACAACAGTTTTCGCAGAATAAAATGGTACCATAATTTATTTCGTTGGCTTCTCATCATCTGCTTACAGGCCGAAGTCATTATTAAGTATATGTACAGTAACAGTTTTAACATAGTTGCACAGAGTTTATTTTTAAACCACCTACCTACAACGCGCCCAGCAATATCAACAACGAAGACAGAGCTACCAGTGAACACCAACCCCCCGACGAAATCAGAAGTCCTGAAGGCAATCAAGATACTCAAAGCTGGAAAAGCAGCAGGACCAGATGGAATCCCAGCAGAAGCATTGAAAACGGACCCAGAGACAACAGCGGACTTGATGACGTCACTACTGGAGAAAGTGTGGAAAGAAGGCAAAGTACCAGAGGATTGGAAGAAAGGATACTTATTCAAACTACCAAAGAAAGGAGACTTAAGTCAATGCAAGAACTGGCGCGGAACCATGCTCCTGTCCATCCCAAGCAAAATACTAAGCCGCATCATCCTGGAGAGAATCAAACATGCCAACCTGGATGAAAAACTTCGACCGGAACAGGCTGGATTCAGGAGAAACAGGTCATGCATTGATCAGATTGCCACATTACGGATCATCATTGAACAAAGCTTGGAGTGGCAGTCACCTCTCTATCTCAACTTCATTGACTTTGAAAAGGCCTTCGACAACGTCGATCGAGAGGTGCTTCGGCAACTACTTCGCTACTACGGGGTGCCACCGACAATAATACATCTCATCCAACAGTTGTATGACAACGCTGCATGCCAAGTAATCCACAACGGGAAACTTATAGAATCCTTCTAAGTGAGGACAGGAGTAAGACAAGGCTGCCTACTATCGCCAATGATTTTCTTGATTGCAGTAGACTGGATAATGCGACAAACAGTGGGCAGTGAGGAAACAGGCATAAAATGGACTCACACAAAGAACTTGGAGGATCTGGACTTCGCCGATGATATATGTCTGATTTCCCACAAACTGGAAGATATGCAAACGAAAAGCAACAAGTTAGGAGAAAAAGCATCAAAGATAGGACTTAAGGTGAACATAGAGAAAACAAAGGTAATGAAGATTCCTGGGCAACACCACCAACAGCAACAACAACAACAGATAACAATCAGCATAAATGAGAGGAACCTGAAAGAAACAACCTCTTTTACCTACCTGGGAAGCATCGTTTCAACTACAGGCGGACAGAACTGATGAGGATATCAAAGCAAGAATCGGAAAAGCAAGACAAGCTTTCACTACTCCCAAGCCTGTGTGGAGGTCAACAGCACTCATCATCAAAAATAAGATCCGGATTTTCAACTCCAATGTGAAGTCAGTGCTACTCAACATACGGATCAGAGACTTGGCCAGTGCGTCATAAAGAGCATCCCAAACAAACTACAGACCTTCATTAACAGTTGTCTTCGCTCAATACTCAATATCGGATGGCCCTTTAGAGAAGATCAGCAACAGAGATCTCTGGGAGCGAACCAACCCAGCAAAAACTGATTGTGAAACAAATAGGCAGGAAGAAATTGAGGTGGATTGGCTGGCCATACTCTGAGGAAACCATCAAGTGACATCACTAGACAAGCCATTGCTCGAGTGGAACCCGGCCGAAAGGGAAGCGGCGAGTTGGTTGTCAGTGTGAGGGTGACTTGGAGGAGGTCATGTGAAGAGGAGATGAAAGCATGTGGGCAGACCTGGAGCCAGGTGAAAACTCTAGCAGAGAACCGAAAGCAATGGAGACGCACGGCTGAAGCCCTATAATCCTCTAGGAATTGAAGGATACAATAATAATAATATTTTTAAACAAAAATCAATCAATATATGTATACAGTAATAAGATATATATAATAATAATAAACACTATCCCAAACTATAATGATCATACATAATGTTAAATTTTGACATTACGTGATCAGATGAGAGAGTGGTGAAAATATTCAGTTACCAGGACAAAGAAAGACTGATAACAGCTTCTTTCTGAACACATAAATCATACCTAATTCAAAAGTATGGCGAAATCTGCTTGTCATGCCTCACGACTCATTATCAATATGCATTCTCGTCATTGCTCGAGTGTGGAACTAGAAACGCTGTGGTTCAGTAGAGAAACACGTTGTTTTTTATTTTGATAACCAGAAAAGAGAAAGTTCTACTTTTTTTCAAGTTCATTTCACACCTTTTATTAAGTCATCAAACGCTTATTGGATCACTTTAATAAGATCAGTAAGGTTTATACTCTGTGAGTAGTTGTTATGCTATCTGCTCTGTCAAAGGGTAAAACATGAATGATTCCCGAGGAAGTATTCTGTACTTCTTCAAGTAGTTCCATGACTATGTGTAAAATAATTACCTAGCCAATATTTCTCACTGAAGTGAATTAATTTTCTACCCAGTTTCCTGTAACTTAAATTATTTTTCTCTTCGCCTCTTCTCGCCTAATTCATAAGCCAATCAATAAATTTTTTTTCAGATGGTGTGTTGTCAATGTGCATCATGTGAGTGCAAAACCCCAGGAGTTATCCGTGCAACCAGGTGATGTTCTCTCAGTAAGTAAACGTTTTATTATTTAACAGGTTACTTTCCGTCTCATTTCTAATACTGAGGCGTTAAAAAGTATATAGCCTACGAAACTTTATGAAGATAATGGGATAAGACAACTTTAATATTGTAACGACGAAAATCGACTTGTTATAGTCCAAACTCATGGAATCGATCTTTGAGTCCTAAGGCAAAGTTAAACTTTAAACACCAGTAAATACCAACGGACAGCTGTCCTTGAAAGCACTAATCACATGATAAAGACAATTTTTGTGTACAAAATACGTATATTCGTGAAAATAATGAATTAAAAGGTATGAAGCTGTTACACAGGGTTCCATTCTCTGGCGTGTGACAAAAGTACCTGTTAGTTTTGGATTGCAGTATAAACAGAGCAGTTCATAAATGTGGTCATAACCGCATTCAATACATGTAATTAACTAGGTCTTCCTTAACTTAGCCCTAACTTCAAAATATCCGTAAATTAACTTGAAACAACCCTAATATCGCCCCTATTAAGTTAACCGAACTCTAACCTGTCCTTAGCCTAAATCTTAACTTAATCTTTCCCAAACCTAACCCGAAACTTGCAAGATATCCCATTTAATAACATAACGCTCCGTTAAGCATGTTTTATCCATGATTACAATATTATTCACCAGGTCTCAGTAACTTGTTCAGTGATCGCTTCAAGGTCATTGGTGCGGTCGCACTCCACTTGTACTTACGGGTGCTTAAAGTTTAACTGGACGCGTCGTAGTGTATAGCTGTCCGAAACTGCCTTCAGACACACACAGTCATGAAACGCTCCAAAGGCAACAGAAATAAGGTTACTCGTCATTAGATCTATGTGGTCCTATTCAATAATAATAATTTGAAAACTCAAAATTATCTCAACAGTGCCATTAGGTGGCTATACAGACAAGGTCGCTTTCTAAGTACAAAAACAGGTACTATGGAACAAAATTATTAAACCAAAATCCAACTGTAAGAAGTACCTGAGAATCAATTAGATTATTCCCGACTAGGTGGGGACAAAATCTGTCCACAAGAATCCCGCACCAAAAATCTCCGCATATAGTCCAAGGTAAGAATCACCTTGATTCATTCAAACAAAACCATATCGTAAGACAACACATAATCAATGTATCACACAGTCACACAGAGAAGCATTAAAATTACAGATTAAACTGTGGAAAATACAAATAATAACGATGAAGTCAATATATGAAATGCGAATGTTCGAACAGGGATATACAGTTTAGAAGAAAAACTCATAATAATCACATAGCTGAAACATCGAAACAAGTATAAACATTGTAATTAGATCGTTCAGGGGGGGGTATTTTCCAAACAATTATCTCATTACAAATATTACTTAATATTTGATAGAAATAACGAAACTGTCGTCAAACTCAGAATGTATCTTGACACTATTTTATGAGTATATTATAAAGTTTAAGATCAACAGATAGTTCCACTTTGAATAAGCTACACTTCATTCTTTTGAATGTAAAATTTATCATTCTTATTATGTACATATGCTGCATACTACACTCCCAACATAAGGCTTCCTAAAGATCCTTTATTCATTTAGATTATAATACCTTGAGTATTAGTCCGTTTTGGTTTTCAAAATATAATGTTAAGATGGTCAACCTATCACTGTTAACCATGAAGTTTTGATTGGCGCACGCGGTGATATGAGAAACTGATTGGACAATTTTTGACTGATTTATTTTTTCGGAGGATACTCAAGATCATGCATTCATTCAGATAGTGATTATTTATTTATGGTTTAAATTTCTGTGGATGTGTAAACGATGTATATACCCTGTGTTCTGAATTATAAAGGTTATTGTCGTGGTTGTAGCGGTTAAATATGATATTTGTGTCCAACCCAGTGTGGGGAATATTTTCAAGTGATCACTTCTTTAGAAAGTAGTGTCTGGAGGCTCATGCTAGTCAAGTTAAACAACAACCCCCAAACAGTAACTCTCCGTTATAACATAGAATAGAATTTTACCTACATAATGTGTACTTTAGCAGCGTTCACCTCTACTGCTCTTTATGCTTTTATAATTACGCACTTCACTATTCCAACTGAGGCAAAAGTTAGCGATTCCACAAAGTAGATATATAAACGTCCATAAAGAAAGGACAGGCACTGAACTGGCGAGCTTTTATTGTACCGGTGAAATACAAAACTGGGGAAGGACGTTTATAGGTACATATATATACCTATATATATACCCCTGTAAAATGTAAGATGATGTTACAGGATTGCACTACACTGACTCCTAGACTAGAAATAGGAAGTGAAGTGGTAGAGTACGTTGACCACTTCACTTACTTGCGAAGTACCATCAGCCCCAACGGGTTGATCTCTGACGAAATCTCAGCACGAATACAGAGGGCTAGTTTCGCATATGCCACTTTACACCGTCTCTGGCGTAGACGTGATATCCGACTATCGACCAATGGGCGTGTGTACTGCTCATCAGTCCACTCCGTCCTCCTTTATGATTGTGAGACCTGGCCAGTGAGAGCTGAAGACATGAACAGATTAGCTGTCTGTGATCATAGGTGTCTGCGTTCTATCTCCCGGGTGAAGTGGTATAATAAGGTGAGCAATATTGAGGTTAGGCTTCGGTCGAGTACTAGGTAAGTAGGGGAAATCTGTCGACGAGGCTGTGAAATTACATCGACTGAGATGGTTAGGATAAGTGTTGCGTATGCCTAGTCACCGCCTTCCTAGACGGGCAATGTTAGCTGATATAGGGTCAGGTTGGAAAAGAGCTAGCGGCGATCAAACCAAAACATGGCATCAGTCAATGAAATCTACAACAGTTAGTCTAAGCCACGTAGGAAGGTGTAGACATCCTGGTTGGGGTCCTCCGGACGGTATACACCAATGGCTGGAGACAATTGGTGACATGGCTCAAAATCGTTCTCAGTGGCGTAGATGCATCCACTCCTTGTGACTTATGATTTCCGATGAAACTATTTGTTCTTCTTTATTATTCCTTTGTCTCACACCTCTGTTTACTGTCTATATTATGCATTTCTCCTACTTTCTTCTCTTGCTTTGTGTGCAACATGGAGTGTGGCGACTTGAACTGCCGCACATATGTGCAAAGTTCTATGTTGAAAACAGACATATATATATATGTAATATAGAGAACAGTAATCAAATATCAGAAAGGTAAATAGACGAAAACAATTCAAGGGGTCGTTAAAAGTCATCAATCAAATGTTTAAACTGTCATTAGATTATTCGCTTGTCTGTAGACTGTTTATTCAAACTGCTAATTGTAACTACCTGATTGATGATAAGAACTCACTTAATATACCTCATACAAACTAACATGCCTCTTTAAAATCTTAGTAATTAAAGTAGAAAAACATCTGTGACTAAAAGGAGACAGAACTCCAACTATCCCACTTTTGGTTCACTAGTAAATTCTATATCTTTCCTATAAATACGACCATATTTAATGGAAAAAAGTTGATGAAATATTCACCCCACCCCCCACCTACCCAATATACTATTTGTATTTACTGAAAACAAGTCGTTTGTTTCTTGTCCAGAATGAAATCAAAGTTATCTCGTTCCACTATTAAAAGTTGCATAAAATGTCCGTCTATAGTAAGGTTTGATTTTGGATAGGTCCTAGCAAGTTTCCACACAAATACTCTCCTAAATTTACTCTGGGATGGATATTCAGGCAATACCTTTCCTAAGTCGAATATAAAAACCATACCTCAGATCATTCAAATCTCTAGTGGGAATTATGTATGGCCAGTTCGATTCCTGCCCGACGCATTCTGATTTTGTCCCAGGGGTAACGCGCCTACGAGCTCGCCTTGTAAATGGAAGGTATTCTCTCTGAACCCTGGAAGGTGCGTGCTGGTGAAGAGTCGCAAACTAGGAAGAAAACGTTGTTCAGAACTTTCTGGTTAATTGCGACCCAAGTGGTCTAGTGGATAATGCTGTGCATCAGTGTAACAACAGAAGACAAGGGCCAGGCAACAGATCGTTTATTAAGGAAAATCAACACATATTTATAGATTTCAATGTACATTATTGTAGATAATTGTTAGTAGAAAATACAGTCTTTTGATTGGTTGTTACTCACAGAAAGTTAACCTTGCATCTCTTTGTGGCTGTGTCAGATCATCCATATGCTAACTGTATCCGCCTACGCAAAGCCTTTGTTCTCATTTTCTCACCACCAATATTGGGGACATAAACATTGACGTCAATTACTGTCTACCAACTTTGGCTAGCAGTCAGCTCTCACCACATCAGTAGTTTAGTGGTAAACTGACCGCCAACCACCCCGCATATAGTCCACAGTTCGATCCCCAGCCGATACACTCCTTAACCTCTCTCAGCTGGTAGTAAAACCTGTAAAGAGTGAAAGTTATGGATGAGGCTAACAATGGCACCTCTTGAAAAATAAGTCCCACAGCTACTGAAACTTCAAAGCTCCAGCTTAAAGCCCTATATCCCACTCGGAATGCAAAGTATTTAAATAAAAATAACATGAATATTTTATTGTTTTATATCCAGTTTCCTTAAGGCAAAATTTAAAAAATACTTTTGCATTCTTTTCTAGGTCTTAATAGGCAATAGAGGTGATTGGTGGACAGTACAAAATGATGCAGGAGAATCTGGTCAAGTGCCAGCATGGAAACTGAAACCGTACAATTATCGACCTGATCATCCACCTGTAGCTGGTTTAAGAAAAACTTCTTCAATGAACAATTTGATGAGTAAAAAATCTACTGAGAATGTCAATGGGAACAGTGAAAATGGTCAGATAGACATTAATATTAGTAACAGTAATACACAGTTGCAGGTGCAGAGTTCAATTTCTCCAAGATCTGTATCACGTGATAAATCCCCTTCAGGACAACAGTTGGATACAACAGCTGTGAATATAAATATATCTACATCGCCTACAGGACAAAATGTAAACAATGATAAAAGAAACAACACTGACAACAATACAGATGCCAATAATAATTTTATGTATATAACTCCATCTCAATTACAAGAAGCAATCAAAATTAATACTAACGTGCCAATGTTACTTATCCCAGTAACTAATTTATACAATAATGGTAATCCTGATATGTCGCTAATCAACTGGTCTGCTCTGATGAATCCAAATACTAATGGTGCTGAATTGGCACGAGTTCCTAATCCTGGTGTCCTGGGACCTGGATGGAAACCAGCGCCTATACTAAGTACTTCAGCAAGTAATTTTTTTCGGTTTAAAAATGCTTTAATATCGTTGATTTATCCTACAAACTGTACCAGTATCATCGCCTGTGTTAGCTCCTCCGATAACCTTATTTTATCGTCAGTTACACTAACTGGGAGGTCAAAAATTCATTGTTAATTTAACGCTAAAATATTTCAAATAATTAGTTCCCTACACGAATTTCGACAAAAAATATATAAGAAACAGACGTCATTTATCTGAATAGTGTAATGTGTGTTTTTGCCACACATTTCAAACAATCTGACCACACACGTACTTGTCATGAGAATATACATGAAAACATGAGAATAGACGTAGGTCACGTTTAAAGGTTTTATTGAAAGTCAAAATAACAATGGAGATCCATAAACCAAAAAAAGGAGATAAAAGTATCAAGGGAGGTTTCACTTGATCACGAATTGTATTTGAACACAAACGTGATTTAAACTTCCTAATTGCTAGTTCTTCCACAGACTTTGGGATACACCCCAAACACGCAATACAATAGCTAGATCGTCTGTTCTCACCAGTAATGGGTTCAGGGGATTCAATTCGCTTCTGAAGCCCTTACTTGGAAAGAATGATTATTCCTCCTTACGTATATGTGGTCAAATGTACATTTTAATTGGTAGATACAGTGGGATGTGACATGGGTTACCGTGAGTTTTAAGGACCTCAACAAACATCTAGGCTTCATAATCCCAATTAGTAGGAACTCAGTTGCGCGAAAAGTCTTTTTATCCACAGCGCTCAATCTTTGTCTAGTTATCAAGCTGCTAGGATCACCCATGTGGGGTACGTCCTTCTTAGTAGCGAGTTGGAGAATGGATCTTGGTGTTCTGATCACTCTATATGTCTCCTTATTAACCTCTCTAAATAAATATTATCAACTAGAGTCTGTGTTGGTTTTCTTTCCTAATCTTCAAGTGCATCGTGGGTGCACATTAGTTGAATCCTTCTGAAGATGCACCCCACTAAGGCTTTGTGGAACTGAAAAGAAGGGAAGTTGTGGTAATTAAGATACTGTCCAGTCCATGTAGGTTTTCTACAAACAGATCATTGTGATGTTGCTTAAAGTTGTCGACTATGTAATATATCTAGGGAAAATAAATTTGCATCTTTCTATCCTACAGGCGTAAGTGATATGCTGTTTTGTATTGCATTTATTAGATTTAATATTGAAGTGGCAGAACAAGGATTATCACTCATAATTACAATTAAATCTTTCGGTAAAATCCCACTGTATCAAATATAAATAACTCTCACTCCTTAACGCTTCGTTATCTAAAAGACTGACTAATGAATAAAAAAATATCCTTCTTGATAAGTTCATCATCACCTCCTACGTTTATATGACCATAATAATAATAATGATAATCAGTCCTACCGCTACAGAAATATCATAGCACAACAAACGTACAAATGTATTTAACTGGTGAATGGTGACTAGCAGTGGAATCCAGGATTCGCATTTCGTCCTATTTGGGACTCGTCAAATGGATGTACCTGCATTCCCCAGTGAGTGATAATGTTCCCACCTAGGCTCAAATCCAGTGCCCATAGTTTCAAAAGCCAAAGCGTTATCCACTAGACCACTTGGGCCACGAGAGCCACCTCTTGTGCAACGGGTCATATTAATTATTTGATTGAATTTTAGATTTTCCCGTCGATTGATTGGACCAAAGTGCTCGGTCTCAGGTTGACATGTTGGCTTCTTGTGCAGATACTTCGACGATTTCTGTGCATTTAACTAGTATTTAATTGGTGGGCCTCGGTGGGAATATCATCACTCACTGAGAAATGCAGGTACATCCAGACGACGAGTCCCAAATAGGACGAAACGCGCATTGTCCTGGATTCCACTGCTAGTCACCATCCACCAATTAAATACTATTTAAATGCCCAGAAATCGTCGAAGCATCTGCACAAGAAGCCGACATGTCAACCTGAGACAGGAGTACTTCGGTCCAATCAAACGACGGGAAAATCTAAAATTCAATTAAACATATAAATGTCTTCAAAAATTTAGGTATCGATAAAAACTAAGGCTGGAGGACAGTTTAGTACACTAGACTGTAAGACGCATTTCGTAAGAGTTCAAAAGGCTTATGGATAAATTATGCAGTATTAACTAATGGACCTTGTATTTGTATCCTACTTTTCACTCCTACCCTTCTGAGTAGAACACAGCGTTTCAAGACTTTCCAAGTTTAATTGGCAGTGTTTGTTGTTATCTATACTGGTTTCGGTTGCTAGACTCACACCCAGCCTTCCCTCTTATGAAGGTTTATTACTGACTGGTTGGTAAATTTAGACGATTTAGGAGTGTGTTGGACAAGGGTGGAACTGGGACCAACTGAATAGTTGGTGAGTATTTGGCTATTGAAGCATGTCCTTATATTCGCCTGCTATTGAATAAAATCCTTGTTAAGCTTTATCAACGAAAAAATTGGCAATTTAGTGAGTAGATATCAGATGTCCACAAAATAAGTTGGAGAAAATGAAATTTGATACTTCTCCTTCAAGTATTCATGTTTTGCTTAATATTTTATTCTGTAAATAATGCTAGTGAATGTGATCAGCTTATTGAGTTGATATTCCTAGTTATCTTTTTAGGCATGAATGATGGTCTGAATATAAATAGTAATAATAATGTTGAATAGTTAGAGAACTATTATTATAAAAAACATTAATGCTTTTTTAAATTACATTGAATCAATAGTTTCGACAGATTATATTTCAAAAGCATCAGTAAGAGAGAGAAAGACGGATAATATGCATTAATATAACACTAAACTGATCGAATATCAAATAGATTAAGCAAGGTGACACACAGAATCTATGAACTCATAGGTTCGACAGAAGACCAGGGTAGCAATAGTGACTGGCTGAACCTGGTTCTTTTATTGCACAGAGTTCTGGTCGACTTAAGCGAATTGCAATGACCTTTTTGTAATTGATTCGATAGCCGACAGATTATAAAAGAGAAAGATTCTTCAATTCTAGCTAGTTTTATAACCTGTATGGATGAGGTGATCTGATATAGAATTTCTGATGGTTTTGACAACACCCTTCTTTATTTAACCACAATGGTAGGTATTTCCGAGCACGAAGAATTAGGCTCCTAGAGCGACTGCCAATATAACTGGGTCCACAGGAATAATTAAATTGCTAGATAAAGTTAGAGGTGGCTAGCCTAGGTACTTGGTCCTTCAATTTCGCAATCACAGCCGGCTGAGTGGAAAATATAAACTTTAGCTTACTGGCATTAATTATTATTATTATTTCCTTTAGTTCCTAGAGGAACATAGGGCTTCAGCCATGCGTCTCCATTGCGTTCGATTCTCTGCTAGAGTTTTCACCTGGCTCCAGGTCTGCCCACATGCTTTCATCTCCTCTTCACATGATCTCCTCCAGGTCACCCTTGGACGACCAACTCGCCGCTTCCCTTTCGGGTTCCACTCGAGGGCTTGTCTAGTGATGTCACTTGCTGGTTTCCTCAGAGTGTGGCCAATCCATCTCCATTTTTTCCTGCCTATTTGTTTCACAATCGGTTCCTGGTTGGTTCGCTCCCAGAGATCTTTGTTGCTGATCCTTTCCGGCCATCTGATCTTGAGTATTGAGCGAAGACATCTGTTAATGAAGGTCTGTAGCTTGTTTGAGGTGCTCTTTGTGACACGCCAAGTCTCTGATCCGTATAGTAGTACTGACTTCACATTGGAGTTGAAAATCCCGATCTTATTTTTGACGCTGAATGATGTTGTCCTCCACACAGACTTCAGAGTAATGAAAGCTTGCCTTGCTTTCCCGATCCTTGCTTTGATATCCTCGTCAGTTCCGCCTGTAGTTGAAACAATGCTTCCCAAGTAGGTAAAGGAGGTAGTTTCTTTCAGGTTTTTTCCATTTATGCTGATTGCTGTCTGTTGTTGTTGTTGGTGTTGGCCAGGGATCTTCATCACCTCTGTTTTTTCTATGTTCACCTGGAGTCCTATCTTTGATGCTTCTTCTGCCAACTTGTTACTTTTCACTTGCATATCTTCCAGTTTGTGGGAAATCAGGCATATATCATCGGCGAAGTCCAGATCCTCCAAGTTCTTTGTGTGAGTCCATTTTATGCCTGTTTCCTCATTGCCCGCTGTTTGTCGCATTATCCAGTCTACTGCAATCAGGAAAATCATTGGCGATAGTAAGCAGCCAGTTTGTGTTACTCCTGTCCTCACTTCGAAGGATTCCGTGAGCTTCCCGTTGTGGATTACTTGGCATGCAGCGTTGTCGTACAACTGTTGGATGAGATGTATAATTGTCGTCGGCACCCCGTAGTAGCGAAGTAGTTGCCAAATCACCTCTCGATCGACGCTGTCGAAGGCCTTTTCAAAGTCGATGAAGTTGAGATAGAGAGGTGACTGCCATTCCAGGCTTTGTTCAATGATGATCCGTAGTGTGGCGATTTGATCAATACATGACTTGTTACTCCTGAATCCAGCTTGTTCTGGTCGAAGTTTTTCATCCAAGGCTTGTTTGATCCTTTCCAGGATGATGCGGCTTAGTATTTTGCTTGGGATGGAAAGGAGCATGATTCCGCGCCAGTTCTTGCATTGACTTAGGTCTCCTTTCTTTGGTAGTTTGAATAAGTATCCTTTCTTCCAATCCTCGGGTACTTTGCCTTCTTTCCACACCTTCTCCAGTAGTGACGCCATCAAATCCGCTGTTGTCTCTGGGTCCATTTCAATGTTTCTGCTGGGATTCCATCTGGTCCTGCTGCTTTCCCAGCTTTCAGCATCTTGATTGCCTTCAGGACTTCTGATTTCGTCGGGGGGTTGATGTTCACTGGTAATTCTGCTTCCGTTGTTGGTATTGTTGGGCGCGTTGTAGGTGGCGGTCGGTTTAGTAGTCTTTTGAAGTGTTCAGCCCAGTGTTTCCTTTGCTCCACTTCTTTGGTGATTGACTTTCCATTTTCATCCTTCACTGGCTTAATTTGTGACGAATTTTTGCCTGAAAGGTACCTAGTTGTTTGGTGAAGTGTTGCGAGGTCTCCTTTGCCTGCAGCTTGTTCTGCTTCATTGGCCATGGCTTCATAATACTTTCTTTTGTCTTCTCTGGCACTCTTCTTTACTCCTTTGTTCAGTGTATTGTAGCTT